TAACTACTAAATTTAAAGTATCATTTAACTCAATTTCAGGCTATTTGAAATTCTAATACGTAACAGGTCGACACAAAACTATTTTACAAGAAGTACATTCATAAAACACCACTCATATATTTTTTCACCAAAGTATTCAGAATCTTATATTTACCTAAAGGTCGACTTCGGCAGTTTCTTAGAGTTCTTAAGGTCTGTGCAATCATATGCTGAAAGTAATAAGTAAAAGTAAAATATAGTATTACATGGTTTTCAGAAACCAAATATTGTACATAGGAAAAAATATTCCAAAAAGTTTATTATTATTATTAAATATTACTGAACAATTAAAAATGGACGTTATATTAGCATAATGAGTATTGAACGACGTAACCAGGATCTTAAGTTTGTGAAGACCAATGGGATGCTGAACACTTAAGAAAGTACTTAGATGCGAATATTAAAAGGCAAGCCTTAGCTATGAGATTTCAGGATATGCTCTCCTAATAAAAGTTAAATATCAGGAGGTAAAAGAGTATTTTTGGAAAAAGAAAAAATATGAATACATAAATATAATAACAATGTATAATGAACAATACGCTTAATGTATACGTGAAACATTACATATACATGAAGTAGCAGTAGTAAGAATACAGTGTACCTTTATTCTTGTTATTGAATTATGTAAATAGAATTACACACTCATAAACAAGAACAATCCACGTATCCAAGCACTTCTTGATAACTATGATATATGTATATATATATATACAACTGCTCGTTTAACCTTCTACAAATTCCAAGACACAGAGAAAAGTTAATTAGACTTAAGAACTTTTATAAACAGCTTGTGAAGTTCTCTAATTCCGTAGCAGTCAGAGATGCTGTTGACGAAATATCTCTCTGTTTGATGATGCATCAGATTCGCTCTGGAAACAAAGAGGCGAATTTAAGTTAACATTTGTATTTTTTACGAAACATTTATTTTAGATAAATTGGTCAACACAATCGTCACATCATAGCACAGATGTGAAGTTTATCCATTTTGCCATCGACGCATTATGTTCATTGGATTGTTTACAATACTTCCTCCCATTATGGAGTTCATTATCTGTAAACTGTTTTTCTTTTTCGTGGCCAGATATTGTTACGAAGAAACGACAAAGGAAATAAAACTTCGTGTTTATGGAGATGGGTTGTTTTTTTTTGTTGTTGTTTTCTGGTGGAGGGGAACAAAACTGTAAAATGGGCTATTTGCGCTCTGTCCTCAAACCACAGATTTTATTGTTGTAAGTTTATAAGCTTATGAACATGGAGATAAACTATTCTGTCCATGAGAGATTGTTTTTATACGAAATAGAGTGAAAATTACGTTTTTTAGGATAATCTTAGCAACTGTGCTATCTTAAATTATCTTGGCAATGTAACCTGAGTCAGAACGATATCCTACTCAAGTAATTATACTTCTGTCATTCTCATTGGCCAAATAGCAATATTCCTTCAGCCATCAATTCGGAGAGTTTGTTTTAAATCTGAGTCCAAAATTATAATTAAAAACAATATAATATAAGTATTAGATAAGTTATTACATACTCTGAAAGTTCGGTATCCACTGCACTAGAGGAAAATTTAGAATTACAAACTGGTTATTCTATTTATCACGTTAATATCATTCATCACGATACAGCTTCTGAGTCTTGTGTGCGTAAGTATATATTGATAGATAAGGCACTTGTTCTGGTGGGCAAATTGGAAGAATATAATGAAGTCTTACATAAAGTTTTGTACTGATATAGACGACTGACTATCCAGTAATATATTTTGAATATGAGAACTACAAATGGAAGTAGGTCGTTTTTTATTCATCATTGCAGAATTTTGAGTTTTTACTATGTGGGTTTGGTAACTATGTGACTTCTGGCATTAATGGTAGTATCATATTCATTCAACAATTATATAATTTTCATAACCATTTAATTCCTCATTTCTGTGAGAAACAAAATTGGTATCATCACACCATGTTTTTATGGATGATATACGAAGAATGTTCTCTGTTCGTCTGAGAGTTGCACGAATCTATGAAGCTTGCCCTCATGTCTTTAATATTGCAATAATCTTTGCTCAACTACAACATACTTAGTGTTATTCTTTACTATGAGTTGCATAAAACTCATTATATTTGCTGTAATGTAAAGGTATTTTCTGTTCTGATATTTTAATTAACATTTACTATCTCAAACATGAATGCTTCTGTTAGAGTGAGAATGTGCCTCACTTGGCAGACCTTTAATGCACGTATCCTACATGAAATCTTCATATTATGCTACAGCCATAACTTGATGGGCTTTACCATATAAAAGATACATAAACAAGTTCCCAGATGGGACACGTTTATGCATCTTAAATTTGGACCAATGTAAAGCTAGTTTCCCTACAGAGTCGAACATGTATTAATCTGCTCTTAATCACCACCATCACATCCTTAGTGCAGTGAATCCCAGTAATATTTAATAACCATTAATTCATGATAATCATGTACAGCTAGTAAGAGTAGAATTTCATGACTGTGACTACTTGTGTTATCAGTCATAAAAACAAAATTCAAGACTTCAGTAGTTGCACATTGCTACCACAAATTCAGTATTACCATCACTGTCTTGATCATAATGCCTCTAGAGGTTAACTAGCATATTTAGTGATATCTCTCTCTCTCTGTGTCTAAAGATAAGCCAATAAAATCTTATCCAAGTATCTCTGACTTATCATACTTAAGTTCATTCGTTGTTGCAGTGGGATTGATCAGCAAACTGTTTCTTTATTAGGATAAGCCTCAGGCTTGTCAGTCTAGTGATGGGTATGGCACACAATGGAAGACAAGCACTAAAGATATCCCCCTTTATGATCTCAGCTTTACATCAAGTAAGGTCCCATTTACATCAATGCTTTCTCCATGCTGTCATTCTTTAGCTGAATGAAATGTTTTCAACTAAGTGCAACATCTCTGGTAATAGTTTGGCTCTACAGGTTGATATGGAAAGCGAGAACAGATTTAGAGGATGGTGTAATGCAGAAGAGCACTCTTTGTGCCATTGTTTGAACTTCAATGAGCATGGCTCATTTTTTCTAATCTTATCTACATAGTAGTGTCCCCCTTCTTCCTTTTCTGGGTGATGAACTCTTCCAGATAAGAAATATGATACCTGTACTACATCACAAAAAAGAAGAACAAAGGAAAAAATAACAAACATATTTAACAAATTCACAAGTAAACCAAAGGATATGTTCTCAGTTTTCACCTAACCTTTACCTTGACTGTACCAAATCTGGTTATGAGACTAGAATTAGCGCTTGGTACCTGCAACTGTTGTAATCTTATTGTATAAATAAACTATACAATTAAATACCCAGTACACAGGTACCAATCTCTAAACCTAAATGAGTGAGACTTCCATGGAAAGTACATTTTGGCAGATAAGTTTAAGTGAATGGAATGACAGATTTCTATAGATTCATAAATAGCAATTGATTTGTTATAAAGGACCAGAAAACACCAAGAAACTCATAATCATAATTTGAATTATGCCTCTCTAACCAAGATTATATAATATATCAATCAAGCAATTAACTTGTACAGAGTTAAGATGTGTTTTTAAATCGAGAAGCTCCTAACAGTAAAAAAATGGCATTGCCATCCAAATGATTTCAAATAGAGAAAGTAATCTGATTATGGCCACATCAGTGGTCGAAACATTGTAAAAAAGTTAAATAAAACTAAACAATCCGCTCAAAAGCTGTATTCTTGGACTTTTATTTAAAGTGTATAATACATTTCTTCTCCTCACAATAATTCAATGTTATGTTGTTCAATTCCTAAATGTATCCCACACCCTATCTCCCATATGTGGAATCAATATAAAATCAGCAGAAGGTTAGGAGCCATCATAAAAGAGACACAGAGGAGTCACAGTCTCTTAGAAAAGTTGTCATATCAAACTGAGTTGCATGTGTTTCATAAGTGATAACCAACTGAAAAATCTCCTCCAAAATATATGATTCGAATTTTTACAAGGATAAACTTGAATGACTCTTGTCCAGGGTTTTTACTGATGAAGGGTGAAATTTTCCAAATATAAACTTAAATATTGATACGTAACTGAGAATTTTAAATGAATAATGAGCATATCTTCAGTTCTGAGTAAAAAAAACTCAACCTTTATATTCCTAACTTGATGTCATCACTACTTGATAGTGCAAGTGTCTTAATTACTTCAATATAAAAATAATAATAATAACCGTAACAATTCTTAATTTAAAATCTTAGCATAGGCTTTAATATATATATATATAATATGTTTGTCATTAAATAATAAAACTCAGCTTCATACTCTGAAAAATAATGTTAATCGAAACGATTGTTTAACTATCGTGAACGTTCCGCTAAGAAATCAGGAATTTTTTTTTACAACAACAAACAAAAAATGTTATATGTTGAGAGTTATGTAACTACAAATCTTTTATTTTAAATCCAAAATATTAATGGGAAGTTAGCTTCATTATTCATAATCAGTGGACACAGTTTACCAAATTATGTATGCATAACTTATTAGTTAATAAACGAATTTGAGCTGAAACTAACAAAACATCAATATGATTCAACTTTTATCTATCCTGAAATTGTTTAGATTAATATAACTAAAATTAACTGCAACACCGAATGTTTTGGGAAATGTAATTTTTCAATAGATAATAAAAGTATTTACCTCATCACACTAAAATATCGTACTGTCTACCTAAGAACCAGATCTACACTCACATTTCATAATACTACAATGTTTCTGTTAAAATTAAAATCATCCCATGTGAACTATACGTTTAAAAAATCAAAGAATATAATTATATTGAACACAATTTTATCGTATTTTGTGGGTTATTTATGTATAAAAGTGTAGTTCATATTTAAACGCTTTAACCATCTATTAAAATATAACTCACCATCTTTTCGAAGTTAACAAGCCCTTCCAGATACGTCTTATTACCTTCGTGAGTGAATGTCATATCCTTCAACAGAAGAGGCATAAAAGGGATGATAGGAGACTCCAACTTCGAAACGAATTGTCGATAACGTCGATGATTACGAGAGGGGTCAATAAGGGTCTCAAATTCGCTGAATACCTTCTTTATTTTGCCTGGGAGTCTTTCCCAAGTTTGAGATAAACGACTTACTGCTATATTACTCAGCCCCATCACTATGGCAAAAAAGGCATTTAAATCTTGGTATTCGCGGCAACTGAAACAAAAGATAGCAACAAATAAACAAATGTAATTTATCTCTTGTCGTGTTTACGAGTAAAATACTTTAAAAAATTAGGTCCATTATGTCACAACTATAACTGCAAGCTCAAAATAGCATTATTGGAAACATATATATTCATACGAATTATTTCGTACTTTCGGTAAAACAAATACATCTAAAGTATGTCAAGCTTAAACATATCGCATCAATTATGGATCTACTCAAAGCAGTCAAAGTTCTAGTGTGATTGAATAAACTTGGTCAAACAGTCAGAGAACTTGTATCAGTTTTTGGCCCAGATACCTTACCTTCGTCAGCAAGCATACTTCTAATAAGCCGACAAAATAGTTGGAAAGTCAAGCTCTTGAACGTCAGGTGGTAGATTTAAACGTTAACATGCATGGTATACAAGGAGGCACAAGGATGGTCTATGGGATTTAAAAACGAAAGTTTTGCTGGCCAATCCACAAACTCAATGGTTAATTTCCCATCAATTCTGGAATATTATTCTGGACTGACTGTACCTCAGGAATTTCGTATAACTGTTTCCAATACCACACTAATATACTGTCAATCAGTAAACAGGTGTCTTGGAAGAACAATAAGATCTGTAAGTCCATGGTCCATGCATATTGACGCCTCTCTACACTACAACAATTATATTCAACGACGTTTTACTGAGTTTATCATTCGCACCTGACTCTAGAACGAAACCATCAACCATTCGTAAAGATATCAAAAATATACTCGTTTGTAATAAATACAGACGTCCTTAGTGTCACTTTTGGTGATCTCTACAAAAGTCCAAACGAGTACACGGTCAACTATTGAGCAGAATCTGGTCTTCTTGGCCTTAAGCCAGATTCTTGAAGTCTGTTTTTGACCGCATGACTACTACTAATCACTCTGTATTAATACCGTTGAAATTGGATTGGTGATTCCTAATAGCAAAACCAGTGTGTCCATAACCCTTTTTTTATACACCGGAACTGGATTCATCAAAACCAGCTACTACTTCTGCCAGTGGTTGTCTGGTTTCCAGTACATGGACAAACTGTTCCGTCAATAAATCTCACAAGCATCCAGTGCATAACGTTATAACCCAATTATACAAAAACAGTAACCAAAAGTGAAGTCATAGCCAATCAAAAAATTAACAAATGATCCAATATGAAGATCTAATTGAGGTAGTGTTTCTACAGAAGATATACATACATTATCGCAACAAATTACTAGAAACGTGCATATAACTAATGACAACCATTTTTTGGAATTTTTTCCAGAAGGTAACGAGTATTTGCCACTGTAATTTTTTCTTAATGTAATGTAATAATTCGCGGATGATTCGTAATTGAAAGATTTTTACCGGATTTAAAGTTAACTGCTTTATTACAAAACGAAAAAGAAATATAAATACACCTGTTAAAGATCCTTAAAGATACTGATTCATCAGATTGATAAATCAGTATTAGTTTTAAAAACTCGTAGGTACTTAGAAACTTGAATCCTACAAACTTTATTTTCCTTTTTTCCCAACAAAATAATTGTCTAATATGATGTACTTGAAATTCTTTGATCTTAATACCACGTTCCAGCAAGATACACTAATTCGGAATAACCTAAATGGACAGGAAGTATTTCGAATTATAATCTAGATCCTAAAGTCTATACTTACATGGATTCACTCTAAAAAACATCCACATTATAACGCCACGCTTTTGAAATTTTGATTAATAAAATATATTGCTTTAATAAGTTGTCTTACTAAAGTTTCTCAAATGACAGTGATGAATGAATAAAGTTGTCCTCATATGTTGACTTCTGAGCACTAAAATGTGATTAAAATTCAACTATTCAACCTGAGTGGTAGGTGGGCTAAACGACCAAACCAGAGACGCATAGGGTTAAGGTATTTCTTTCATGGTTTTGAATTACTTACTAGAATAAAGACATTACCCGCTGCAACAAAGGCTTTATCCGATTTTGAACTAAGTAACAGGATTGATCTCCACTTTTATAACGGACCCACAGCTAAAACAGTAGTGTGTGTTTAGCGATATCGCGGTGCGAACCTTGGATCTTCCGTGTTGCAGTTTGGAATGCTAAACACTTGGTCATGCTCGACCCAAATATGACCATTTTAAACTTTTAACAGTAACCGAGCCACTACTTTATATTATTATTAGTTTTTTTTAATTAAAAACTTTTAGTTCAAATATTTTGGAGGATAACACTTTAAGCTACATCTACATATCAACTAATACTTTTTACCGTGGAGGTTTAACCTCTGTATGACTCCCAATTTATAATTAATGCAATTTAACCTATCTACTGGGAACCACATAAACGCGCCCTATATTAAAATCATAACAATTTGGGCTTGCTGGATAGCTCACCAGTCAAGGGTGATATTCTATCACCTTTCTTGTTTGATACTGTTATGGATTGGGTTATGAGGGAAGTTGATCTTACAAATGGTGGCACTGAATAGTTCGATAACATTCTTTTGAAACATTTAGAATATATTGTTGATGTACGTTTTTTGTCATAACACACAGACACAGACAATGGCTAGAATAACTGAAACACCGGTACATGAAGCTCGGAATGTTGGTTTAGCTATTAATGGTGGTAAGACAAAGAGAATGAGGTTAAGGATAAATGATCTGGATCAAGTTATTGTAGATAGAGAGGCAACTGAGGATGCTAAAACCTTTACAAATATTGGTAATATAGCTAGTGGTGATGGAGATATACACAAGAAAGTAAGGGCAAGACCGGAAAAAGTAGGAGTTGCTTCTAGAAAATTGAATGGAATATGCAATAAAACAGGTTTATCTATTAAGGTGAAGCTGAAGTTGTTTAACAGCTTGGTTCTTTTAGTTTTGTTGTATGGCGATAAGATTAAAGGAAACTGAGTCTAGATTAAAAAGTTTTGAGATTTATTTTTCAGAACGATAATTATGATCAGATGGTTTTATGATATAAGTAAAGAAACATTAAGAGAAAGAAGTGGATAACAATCAATCATAGAAAAGCTTAAGTTGTATAGATGGAGATACTATAGTCATGTTCCAAGAACGAAGGAGAATAGACTGCCTAGAAGAACAATGGACTGGAGACAATTGAAAGAAGGAGGAGGAGGAGAGATACTTGGTGTACAACAATAGAGAGGGATATGAGAAGTAAGGACCTGGATGGAACAGAGGTTGAAGAATAGACAGAATACCGAACGCAGTGGAAAGTATTCATAGTTGCCCTATAAACGGTCTTGAACGGACTGGTGATAATGATGATCGATATTTATTGAAAATGCACTAGTTTTGCCAATCTCTATTTATAAAAATAACACTATGTTATACCATTTCATAATTACATTTCTTACATAACACTAGTTCCTACTCAACACAAGGATATAAATTTCAGTTTTACTAATATTTGCAACTGTGATTTTCTTTAAATTTAAACTTTTTTGATATACGCTAGCAATCATAAGGCCTTAAGAAATTTTACTTACTGGCATGCCACTTTGATGAATTTCCTGAGAAGCTGGACACGCCGACTCAGTGATGTTGTTAGACACATTTCTGTAACCACCCAGAACTGAACTTCGTTAAATCTTCGTAGGAAAACGTCTAGATTTGACATAGTCTTTCTAAACTGATGACGCTCAAAAACTTGGTAAATCAATTCGTACTGTAGAAAAAAACTGTTCTCATAAATTTCACTTTTTACTTAAAAGGTTATATTTAAAACAAATACGTAAATTTTTTTATCCTCCAAAACTTACCCTAAAAAGTATTTCACTATAGATATTCTTCATTACTTAAGAGTTAGATATAGGTATCATTATTAGAATGTTCAATTTGAATTTCGAAAATTCGAAGAAACAAAATTTCCGTTTCCTGAAACGAAAATTCTAAATAAGTTATTCTAAAATTTTACGCCCCAAAACTCATTAGATACGATATAATTTGTTCAACATTACAAGAATTCGTAGGCATAGCCTACAAACTAATTCTATGTTCAGAAACAAGGTTACTCTGTTTGTGTTTTGAATACTAACTTTATTAAATTTTTGTCAAATTTAATACTACTTACTACAACTTACGAAATTAAACGAATTCCAAATAACCATTAACTTTTCAATAACTTTTACTATAGCTTAGTTTTTAACTATTTCAATTTATAATTTAAACAGGACATCATTAATAATTTCAATATGTCGAACAACTGTTATCATTACCTTACTCTAGCTACTGCAAGTTATATAAAATTTCATCACATAATGCAGAATGATCTCATGAGTTTAGATAGAATAGTATCGGTTGGTATGTTTGTGGTATTAACCATTATTGATACTTAATTAGCTATTAAGGCAACTTTTTAGTGTATTAAGTTTTATATCTAAATGCACCGTATACTTTTTTCGCTAGTTCTTAAGAGTTGACTTTAATACTTCCGGCAGTCCTTAACTTGATCATGAGTTGAAAGTTTGGCCTTTAAAATTTGTTTATTGGATTTGGAATTTTAAATCAGATCAGCACCTTCTGCGTGCGTGGAACAAACAGTCAGATCATATCATCTTTTATTTTGAATTAGTGACTACAGATAAGGCAGCCAGCCAGCCAGCAGCTTTATCCAGTTTTATAACGAGCCCGCGGATGAAAGTCGGAGCGTGTTCAGCAGCATCACGTCTCAACCCAAAGATCTTCTCCGCCATATGTGCTAACCATTAGACCACGCTCGGCTTAACTTGTTTACACACGCTACTTATAATAAGTTACGTGACATCTCTCAACTACACAACGCTGATTAATATAGGATTTTTATTTTACAATTATCGAATTCACTTTTACAATATATCTCCTTTTCCGGATTGAGCGTGATCTACTGATAAGCACTCACGGACAATGAATCCAAAAAATCATGCCTCATATCTCATTGCTGTATAAACGCGCTCCGCACTTTGGGTAATTTGGTTCACTATAAGAATAAAGGTCAAATTCCACTATTTAATCAGGCAACAGTAACCCCAAGAGCTGGAGCTAAGTGTCATTCACTAGCTGTCGTTTTTTTTCGAATTTATTATGTCAAAATTAGGGACAGCTATATACTTAATGCCCTTATGTGAATTTACGCCAAAATTCTAAAAACAAACTTTTTATCTTTCCTCTATCGACTCTCGTCAAAAAATCAAATGTGTTGGAAGGTATTTGACTTTAATACTAAACTAATTAAAACTGTATAGGCAGAGTGGAGAAATCAAATTTCCCTGGCCCTTCACCGACGTTTGGGGGAATTATAGATTACGCAACAGAATATTGGTATTATTTTATGAACATGTAACCATTGTATTTCTGTTTGTGATTTTTAATCTTTTTTTTTGCAACTTTCATCTCTTTTTCGTTATGTATGTGCAAATTAACTCTTAAATATATATTCGTGTAATTGTAAGCTATATGGAATTTAAGATGGTAGTTTTGTGTATTTTGAAAGTAATGACTACATCACTTTCCTTTGAAGTCTGCTTCATTAATATTATGAGTTACAATATTGAAAATAATTATGTATATATTTCATTATATTAATCTTTACAATTATAAACATTATTTTTTATTTTTAAACTAGTAAATTGATATAGTGCTAAACTAGATCCCCAAAAAATTAATACAGAAGTCAGTGATTTCGCCCGAGAATATATATAAACAAATTGAAAGTACATACTAACAGACATGATTACAATATTTAATTGAAGTACACGTATGTTATTACACTAATTAAATACAAACAGATTAGTAGTTTCTTTGCATTTTCTATCTAAAAAAACTGTAGCAGTGAGTAAGAATGTTTGCTGTTATGGGACAATCATTATCAATTATACTGTGTTTATCAACCAAATGTTCAGCCACAGCACTGTCTTTACTATCTAATGTATGAAGAGCTCGAAGGAGTTCGTTAATTCTATCCCTAATCCAATCAAAAACATTATAGATGTGAAAAAAAAGTGCGGCCAAAAAAAGGATTCAGTGTGTGACTTAAAAGAATGAAATCGTAATTGGCCGCCAAACTGATAGCTACACTTATAACATTGTTTGTTTGTTTGGAATTAAGTACAAAGCTACACAATGGGCTGTCTGTGCTCTGCCCACCACGGGTATTGAAACCCGGTTTCTAGCATTGTAAGTTTGCAGACATACTGCTGTGCCACTGGGGGGGGGGGGGGGGGCTTATAGCATTGATAAGAATTTTAAAACAAATATTCATTCATTAGTTAGCTAGTCCGCGCTTTTTTGTTCAACTTGGGGCGTGATGGTGGGTAAAACAAAATACGCCTAACTAACTAATGAATAAATATTTGTTGTAAAATCCTTATCAATGCTATAAGTGTAACTACCAGTTTCGCCGCCATTTTTTTATTATTTTAAGTCGCACACTCAATCCTATTTTTCACCGCGCCTTTTTTTTCAACCCTAAGGTGATTTGGATTAGATATCATGACTTTTTGTCAATACACGTCAACAAACCACAGCAAGTAAGAAAGCGACACATTAGCTTTAGTATCGCAACCCTATTATTCGGAACACACCTATATTTTACTGAACCAACCAGATTCTTTAAAACATATGTTTTCCTCTCTAAAACAGTGTTAATATCTTCCTTTATACTAACGCCATGGAATTTAGATTAACAGTTTCTTATCATCACTCCCATGCAATCGGTACAGCCGTATCAAGTATCATTATTTATGCTAATTGTTTAGGCTAATATCACGTGATGCTAAACGCTCTATGATTAGAATAATTTCATAAAATCTAGTAAATTTGTGCTGAAAATTTGGCAACGAATAATAAATAATAACCGTCCACCTGTATGATTATTTTGAAAACGTGAGCTGGAAACTGCTAAGCTAGTTTACTTGGCCTAACCAATACTTATGTATCTGCACGTTCTTTCTCTCTATGGTTCTGCTGCTCTAAGTCAGCTGTCTTTAATCCAAATGACAAAAACTAAAAAGTGGTCCACTTTTACTCTTAGGTGAAGCTGCAGTAAAAATATTAGACCCATTTTGGTGCGAAGAAAAAATAGGAAGAAGCTCAACCAAAACTGGAGATTTTTTATCTCGGATATTTTTTAATGGATTGCTTTGAAATTTCATATGCGAAGTAAGAGTCCAGAGAAACACATCCACAGTAAATATGTTATCGTTTGTGTTATCACAGTCTGAGATACAGAAGGTGGAAAAGCGCTAAACTATCAGTCCTGTTAATGACACACAGTGTCCTGCAGCAAGTTGTTTTGGCCGCACGACATTCTACCGTGTGTCTTGATAGTTCTGACTGTTTCACCTATGTATACAGACCCACTTTCAGCTGTGCCCGAACATTTACTTGATAAACAAACATTCTTACTCACTGCCACAGTTTGTTAGTAGAAAATGCAAGGAAGCTCTACTACTTTCCGAGAACAAGTCACAGTATAACAACAAACATTCTTACTCACTGCCACAGTTTGTTAGTAGAAAATGCAAGGAAGCTCTACTACTTTCCGAGAACAAGTCACAGTATAACAACAAACATTCTTACTCACTGCCACAGTTTGTTAGTAGAAAATGCAAGGAAGTTCTACTACTTTCCGAGAACAAGTCACGGTTTAACAAAAAATCACCATGGAATTTTTAATCTTTACTGTTTGTACTTAATTAGTGTAATAGCGTACGTGTTGCTTAAACTAGTATAATCTTATTTGTTTGCATGTACTTTCAATTTGTTTATATATTCTTGGGCGAAATATATCTTTTTGCGCACACTCGAATTATTCTGAAGTATTTCTTTTGCATTAGCCTAAATCAGTTAGCAAGTGTCTTATTTGCCCCGATGAAGCCGGAATGACAAAACATTGGCTTAAATAAAACCAATTATGTTTTCTGGAGTAATAGGTCGGGTAGATTAGAACTTATTATATAATAGTATGTCTAAATTTATAGAAACTAAGAAAGATAAAAATTAGCTACTTAATAAACTTATCTACCTATATTTTCTATTGAATAAAAGTTGCAGAATACTTAAAGATAAAAACATCATAATAGGATAACATTAAACAAGACAAATTAACATACAATAGAAATTAAAACCTCCACTCCTACTAATTAAAAGAATAAAAATTTCTTCTCTCTTAATTAATACAAGAATGATATTTAAGTAAGCCCAAGATGATACACGTATATATGAAGAAATTAAATATTATTTAGTGAGTGCAAATATTACTTTTAGCCCAGCTGAAGTAGAATTTCCAAACACTACATATTATTAACATAAATTGCTTACTTTTAAGTTACAGTTTCATTAAACTGTGCTAGATTTCGGACTTAGCAGAGTCCATCATGTTTAAACCAATATTTAATGTAAATGAAAATACTATGTTATACAAATATCAATAGTTTAACTTCTAAACTAATCTAGTTCAGAACTGGTTTAAGTTTGCTATTCAATAACGTCTCTTTTATGTTTAAGTTTTTCATCACGCCCTCTAGCGAAATACTTAAACATGTTGTAATGAATGCTAATACTATTAATAATTCATTACTTTCATTCAGTATTTTGTTGTTTTTAAATATGTTGTAGTAATTCTTCCAAAACGATAACACACAATCCAAACATTTAAGTTTTAGAGGACATATAGCAAATTTTAAACCACAAGCTAATACTTTGTTTTATATTTCATTAAAATAATCCAAAAAATTATATACCACATTATCAGGATAACTGAAAAAATATTATTTCTTATCTTTTTTTGGTTGATAAAGTTTTCTGAATGTTTCTAATTTTAACCAATAGTTTATTATTCTATGTGTTAATTGGATGTATATAATCAATATAATTCGCCTGATTTTTAATTGTAAAGTTTTTCAAATTTTACTAGTCTTGAATTTCTCTTTATTTCAATTTTACTATCTGCTTTTTTAAATGTTTTGCGTCAATTACTCTGGCAACAAATTATGCACCAAATTACAGAAATAAATGTTCTATATAAAAACATGAGGGGGTTTAACTTGTTAGGATGTTGCTGAATTTCACGAACATATGAAAAATATAATAATAAAAAAATTATGAAATTCATTACTAAAATTATCTATTTACATAGTTTTCCAGCACATAAATCTATTACTTCAGTTTTATTAAAAGACGTGGTCTTAAGGTTGTATCATACATCTGAAAAAAAAGCATTTACTTTTTAAATACGTTACATCGAAATTGTTTGAATAACTAACTGTAAATTTTGACATTGGTGGCAAGTTAGGCCCGGCATGGCCAGGTGGTTAAGGCACTCGACTCGCAATCTGAGGGTCGCGGGTTCGAA